CTAGTCTCCCAGCGTCTCCTCCCGGGGACCATCGGTTCCCTCCCCCCTGGTCAATTGCATCGTCCGAAATGCCTCTGTACCCATCCGTGCCAACCAGGGTGTCCATGTGTCTGAGTATGTCTGCGTTCGGTCTTGGGCTGAATACCAGATCTCCTCTGTGACTCGTAACTCCTCCATTCTAGTAAACCACAGGGAGAGTGTTGGGGTCGTGTCTTTTTTCCAGTACAAAGGTATTAGGTGTTTTGCGACGTTAAGGATTCGGATGGTCAGGGAGCGTTTGTAGCGTGATGTGGGGGTTGTCGTGTGGTGTAGGAGGTACGGGGCGGGCCGGAAGGGTGGGACATTGTCCGTGAACATGGCCACCATGGCAGCTATTTGCTCCCAGAACGGTACTATAAGTGGGCATTCCCACCATATGTGAAGAAAGGATCCCACCCCTCTCTTGCACCTCCAGCAGAGGCCATCCGCGTCCAAGTGCATTCTCTGTAAGCGTTCTGGGGTCAGGTACCATTGTGTGAGAACCTTGTAGGCAGTTTCCTGGGTTTTGCTCGCGATTGCGCAGTGGTGCACTAGATCGCAGATCTTGTGCCACTGGGTCTCGGTAAATGTTTCCCCCACGGCAGTCTCCCATTTGGACATGAAGGGGGGTGGGGGGTGTCCCTGTTGTCGTTGTAGCATGGAGTAGAGGTAGGAAATGCTATGGGGCATGGGCTCCGGGTCCTGGCACAGCTGTTCGAATGGCGTAAGGTCCCTATATACGTCGGGATGCTGTGGTATAGCAGCGATGTAGTTCTTAATTTGGGTGTATCTGAATGTCGTCAAGAAGGGCTGGGTGGGTGTGCCCATGAGCGACTGTAGGGACACGATTTTCCCATTGGTGGTCATGTCTCGGAGTCTGGGTATGGCTTGGGGGAGGACGCAGCGGAGGCTCCCGGGTCTCATCCCCGGTTCAAACTCCGGGTTGTACACCAGAGGCAGCAGCGGGGATGGGAAGGAGGAGAGGCGTAGTTTCCTCGCCTGTGAGTGCCATACGGTGAGGGTGGCGGTGATGAAGGGCTGTTGGTGGACTAGCCGCCTACCAATCAGTGGGTCCAGCCACAGGAGGGCTGAGAGGGGCCTGCCTGCGTGGTGTGTTTCGATAGCCTTCCAGGGTTTGCTAATCCCCTCTTTTGCCCATTCCATGGCCCGTTGCATGTGACATGCTTGGTAATACAGTTTGAAATCAGGAACTGCCAGGCCTCCTGCTGTTTTGGGGAGTGTGAGTTGTGTGTACTTGAGTCTGGGTTTAGTACCCTTCCAGATAAATTTGATGAGGAGGGTGCGGAGTGCGGAGAAGAAGGTGGTAGGGAGTTGGAGTGGTAGTGTCTGGAATAGGTAAAGTACCCGTGGGAGGATATTCATTTTGGCAATGGCCACCCTGCCGAGCCAGGAGAAGTGAGGTGTGGTCCATTCTGTCAGGTTCTTCCGTAATGTTGCCATCAGTGGGGTGAAGTTCATATGGTAAAGTTTGGATAGGTCGGCCGTGAGCTTCACCCCCAGGTATTTTATAGCGGTGTCTTGCCATTGGAAGGGAAAATTTCTTCGGATTTGGTCTGCCCTCTTCCGGGGGAAGCCAATGTTAAGTATAGAGGATTTAGCGTAATTGATCTTAAGGTTGGCGATTTCGCCATATGTCTTTAACTCTGCCATAAGGTTTGGGAGGGAGATTTCTGGGTTCGTTATAAAAAATAGCATATCGTCTGCATATGCTGCGATTTTGTGGTGGTCTGCCTCCACCGCTACCCCCGAGATATCTGGGTTGTCCCTTACCGCTTGTAGGAAGGGCTCCAAGGTCAGGATAAACAGAAGCGGCGACAGAGGGCAGCCCTGCCTGGTTCCATTCCTGACCGGGAATGCGTCTGTATAGACCCCATTTATGCACACCCTGGCCGTGGGGGACGAGTAGAGGGCCTCTATCCACTGGCGCATGTGGGTCCCCAGGCCAACATGCTCCAGTACCGAGAACAGGTAGTCCCACGCCACCCTATCGAAGGCCTTCTCCGCGTCCGTAGAGAGGAGGAGGAGGCCCTTCGAGGAGCGCTGTGCGTGGTGGATCAGGGAGAGGGCCCGGACCGTATTGTCCCGGGCTTCCCTGTGGGGGACGAATCCCACTTGGTCAGGTGAGATTAAGTCTGGTATGTGTGGATTCAACCTTGTAGCTAGTATTTTAGCGAATAGGCGTAGGTCGCAGTTAAGCAACGATATCGGTCGGTAGCCCGTGCACCGTTCGGTATCTCCCCCCTCCTTCGGCAGCAGGACAATATTGGCCGCTAGTGTTTGCTGGGGGATAGTATTTCCCTCTGTTATAGAGTTGAAGGCCGAGATAAATTGGGGGGACAATGTGGCCAGGAAGGTTTTATAGTATTTGAGAGGGAGGCCGTCTGGGCCTGGGCTTTTGCCGGTCTTCGAGGATTTGATGGCTAGGGCCAGTTCCCCCTCCGTAAGGGGCGCCTCCAAAGCCTCCGCTGCGTCCGAGGAGAGTTTAGTTTTAGTGTATTTAGTGAGGTATGCGTTCATGCGGGTCAGTCCCACGTTAGGGTCCGCCCGAGGGGCGTGGGGGGGAATCGCGTAAAGGTCCGTGTAGAAGCGGGTTACGGCTGTAGCGATTTGATCTGGCATGTGGTGTAGTTGGCCTGCGGCGTCGCGCATGCGTGCAATATATGTCATGGAGCGTTTTTTGTTGATCATTCTGGCCAGCAACCTGCCGCACTTATCCCCTTCTGTGTAGAAGAATGATTTAGTGCGCTGGAGGGCCCTAGTGTACGATTGCCGCAGGGTCCGTGCTAGTTCTTCACGGGCTGCTATGAGTTCCCCGAGAAGTGTGTCGTCTAGTGTTTGCTTGTGGGCCTGTGTTAGGGTCCCTATCTTGGCCGTTAGTTCTCGGATCGTGTGGTCCCGTGCCTTCTTCAGGGCAGAGGAGTGTGAGATGAGAATCCCTCTCATCACACACTTGTGGGCCTCCCATGTCAAGAGGGGGGATGTGTCCTGTGGTAAGTTCTCGGTGAAGTAGTTTGTCAGGGCTTGTTGTACGTCTTGGGCCACCTGCGGGTTGGATAGGAGGTTTTCCTGGAGCCGCCATGTCGTGGTTTTGGGTTTGTGTAGTGGCGATGTAAGTTGGATTGTGAGTGGTGCGTGGTCGGACCACATGGACCCCCCTATGGCAGAGTCCCGCAGTCTGGGTAGATGGTAGTATGGCAGAAAGAAGTAGTCGATGCGTGTGTAACAGTCATTCGGGGTCGAGTAGAAGGTGTAGTCCCTAGCTGTCGGGTGTGTCGCCCTCCAACAATCTGTAAGCCTGTACTGATGGAGAAGTTTACGAATTTTAAGCAGTGTGGGGGGGGTGTCGATGAGTGGCCCCTGGATGCGTCCATTGTCGGGTGTAGAGCAATGTTGAAGTCCCCACCCAGGACCAGACAGCCCGTCGTGAAGTCGTGGAGGGCCCAGAGTGTGTCCCGGAGGAATCTGTCCTGTCGTGTGTTTGGAGAGTAGATGTTGGCAAAGGTATAGGTTTCCTCCAGGATTTTACCCCTAACGAATACGTATCTGCCCAAGTTATCAGTCATGGTCGAGTCAGCTACAAAGGGTATGGATTTGTGTAGGAGTATTGCTGTCCCCCTAGATTTCCCATCTGGGTTATTGCTGTAGAAGCCTTGGGTGTATATATGGTTGCAGAGTTTCGGAGCAGCGTTGGTTTTAAAGTGGGTTTCTTGGAGGTAGACCACATGGGCTCTAGTTTTCTGACTGAGGCGTAGCGCATGTGACCTCTTTTCGGGGGAGTTTAAGCCCTTGGCGTTTAGGGATAAGAAGTTGAGTGGGGCCGGTGCGTATTTGGGTGCGGGTGTAGCCATAGTGTCAAGTCCCGTGGGTGTCGAAGTTGCCCCGGTCAGTGGGGGCCTAGGTAGGTCGAGCCCGGCCCAGGGGCGAGCGGGGGAGCGGATGACTCCGCCCGACGGAGCGCAGAGGGGGCCGCCCTCGCAATGGAGCAGAGGCACCGGTGTCAGGGGGGTAGAGATCCCCCGGCCTGGAGACCGGAGTGGGGGATGACCCTC